TCCACCGCTCCAACCACCAATGCCGCTACTCCCGGCATCTGAACAGCTTCCGTCGCTAAATCCGCCACCGCCAACACCTCAGACACCATCGCCAACACCACACAAGCACCATCATCACCGCCGCCACCGCCATCAGCCCCCAGCTCGTCATCACCGCACCCCCCGCTGCCGCCGACGTCCGCATCCTCGCCGCAGCTTCTCTCGGCGCACCCTCCCGGCCGCTCCTTCGATCGCTAATGGTCTGGTCCCGTAGGCGGCCTCCGCCACCGCCGCCGCCGCGCCTCTGCGGTGCCAGTGCTCCCGTGGAATGTCAATTGTTTTAGCCCGCCGAGGGCAAGATCCGCATAGCGGAGCTCTCCCCCCCCCCTGCGCTCCACAGCGCTCCCCTGCTCACCAGAGCCCCGTCGATATGACGCTCCAGGCAGTGGACTGTGAATGAGAAGAAAGGCCGCTAGCCTTTATGGGGACACTATGAGCTGAGCAGCCGATTAGGAAGTGGGTGCTTGCAATACGGGAGAAAACAAAAAGGAGAGTAGTATTTTAATTTTGGGGGGACGGGACGAGGGATTTAAGACAGATGTACTTCATTATGAAACGAGAACTACAACGGGTTGTTCTAAAATACGGGTACTGAAGGTGAGAATATATTACATACAAGCAAAATCGTTTTGGGGGAAAGTCATGTAAAAACAGAATGGAAAATAGACAAATTTGATCTTAATATAATATTATCTTAATTATCAAAATTTATTTTAAATAAAATATTCTTTGAATGTTAATCGAAGAGAATATATGGTAGGAAATCAATATTTATGTCTCTTTGATGCTTGTCTTCTTGTACGTAATGCAAACTTCGACATCTATTCTTCATGAAAGGTTATGGGTTACAATATTGGCAACAAAATATCTTGTGGCACTCCATAATACAATTAGAAAATAATTTCGACCATCATATTGTGTTTTCTTCAGGGCTGTTGGATAGTCGTGAGGGGCACTTCAGCCATGAAGAAGATCACGATACGTCGAAACGTCGGCTCCTCAGCCTTCGACGCGGCGACTCACGGACAGCACAGACCATGCACTCTGCCTCGGAAGCCTACAACATAGGCTTTCATTGTTCTTTATTATTATTATTAATATTATTATTATTATTATTATTATTATTATTATTATGTTAAACGGCTGTGGATGGCGCGTGGGCGAGCCCAAAGGGTCGCGATCGCCGCGAACAATGCGCGTTTCCCTGTGACTAATGACGTGCGCGCTCATAACGCAATTGGCGGCGGCGGGAACGCGTCGCGCAGCGGGGTGAAGGCGCGGGAGGGGGAGAACGGGGAGGAGCGCGCGTAGGGCGTAACAAATCGGGTTATGATCGGGCGACAAAAACCAAACGGAAAAACAACAAAAAAACGTCAATGCGCGAGGGAAAAAGGTGCATGTTTTTTAGACCGGAGCATCGACAGATGGTGCAGCGAGCTTTAAGACGAGGTGATTTTCTCTTTTGTATTACCTTGTAGAATATGAAATTACTGTTATTACTTTTATTAAAATTATTGTTATTTCTATTACTATTGCGCAATTATTATTGTTACTGTAATGAAAAGTCTGGTGCATAATTATCGGTTTGGGAGTAATACAGATGATATTATGACCCACTTCTTGGTGGTGGTAATTGCGAAATACAAATACATCCATTGCGAAAGCAGGCCTCAAGCTGACAGCCCTCGCAGGAATTGGAAGATCTCTCCCGGAGATCTGCCTGCATTTCCTTAAGTATTAGTGACATTGAAGCCAACTAACAGTAAGTGAATGCATGAATGCACAAAAGCTCTAATATCCGCGGACAACTTTTGTTCAGTTACAAGAATACATTAATATGAAGGCTGGTTCTTGGAGCTAGATCACTGGAAAATAATACTAGTTAATTGTTTGCTCAAGTTTCGAAAAATATATTTTCATTATCAATAAAATACAATCCATAAATCAAATTTCCATCATCAATATCATGGCTAATAAAACCAAAGACAGCTACATTGTGCTCTAAGTAGGTAATTACATGTAATAAGCGGCCAATTTGCGTGGGAACCCCTAACATCTGTTAACTCATGTTTGCCATCATTCATACGGTGATATTTTTCGAACTTTTATTAGACGGATAAAACATCCGTGTGAACTTTTATTTCACAACGAATCCCGCGTATATTCTGAGAATTCAAGATAGTCTGAGAGATGAGAAGGCAATCGTTCAACCCCAAGCCTAAGCATTGAAAGTCCTATTTACATTCTGATTATCAAAAACGCCGAGGCACACAGGCATGAATATTATTAGTATAATCCACATATTACATGCTACTGTTTACATCGCTAACGGCGCGCTCAATCTGCGTAAACATTCGGCTGCCAGGCCGCGGGCACGCTGTTGTCATGTTTGTTTTGTTCTCGAATCCCCGCTAACAGCGCTCGCCGCGTTTCCTCCACCTACGCAAAGCAAAGCGTTTTCCTGCGGGCGCCGAATTTTTCCGCGAAGGCACTGGCCACCCCCGCGGCGCTACACACCACGCCTCCTCGTGCGGGACAGCGCGCGCGCGCGCGCCCGTGTGTGTATGTGTTTGTGCGCGCGCGCTTGTTACTTTATTTGCGCTGCAAGTGGTCTGCTGGCGGTGTTTGGCGTGGAAGAATAACACAAAGTAAACGCGGGTTGCGCCTGCGTTTGGAGGCGGTTTTGTGCGGACTCCGCGATCTGGAAGGGGGGAAGCGATGAGGAGGAGAAACGGAGAATGCGTATTAGACACACACACACACAGAGGGAGAGAGAGAGAGAGAGAGAGAGAGAGAGAGAGAGAGAGAGAGAGAGAGAAATAAGCAGAGAGAAAGAACCAGAGAGGGACAAAGACACCGGAAAGAGAGAGAGAGAGAGAGAGAGAGAGAGAGAGAGAGAGAGGGAGAGGGAGGGAAACAACACAAGGCAAAGAGGCGGCGGTTTCGCGCACTGCACACGAAGTGGTTTCGTTAAATGCGAGCACTTACGCACTGGCTGCGTGAGAAGGGGAGGGGCGCTGTTGCAGTAGCAGCAGCTGCCGCCGCCGCCGCCTTTTGCGCTTCTAACGTAGGCCCCGCTGCAGGCGGCGTTGATGTCGCCGTTTCGGCGTGCTTGCTGTCTCCTTTGGTGCGTCCCGCGTCCCTTTGGGAGTCCCGCAGGGTTGCGCTTTTGGTCGGCTCCCTCGGCGACTTTGTGACTTGCGCACAGCCGCCTCCGCCGCCGCCACCGCCTCCTGCGACGTCCTTTGGTCGTTGTCGTTACGCCGCTGGCTGGCGCGTCATCTTCCATTTTGAGCGTGGTGTCGTTGTGCCTTTGTTCTGCTCCGTTTGGTGCATTTCCGTAGCCACACGACAGCTTAGGGTTGCCATTGAAATCACCACAGTCACCGTCATGTCACCAATGCAGCACGTGAGGATTATACCTACAGCGTCGTGATCGGTAATCAAAGGGCGCACCCAGTCTAGGATCTCCTGTAAGCAAACTAACCACTATGATAATTTTGAGAACCACTATGATCATTTTGAGACTGAATCTTCGTATCGCCATCATTGCATCATCACTCCCACTGAACCGCCTTCCACACCTTCCCCCTTCCGCAACAAACGAGTGTATTCAGGCGACTGTATTGATATAATGGACCACGCAACACTGTCACGGTAACTTCTTCTTTCACCGCTACCACAAAACCCTCGTCACAGCGGACCACCTCCACCCCCGCCCGCGCGGAGCGGTGCCCTGCGCGCAAGGACGCGACGGAAGGCGGCGCCGCGCGGCGTCGAGGGCTTTTATGAAATTCCCAACAATTAACGAGGCGGCTGTGCGGAGGCCCTCCGCCTCGTCCTCGGGGCCTCTTCGCCGACAGCGCGGCGCCCCGCGGCGGAGCGCGTTCAGAAATGAGCCTTTCAGAAATTTCCCTCTCGGGGCCCTTCCCAGGGGCAGCGCCGTGTGCTGCGGCCAGCTCTTCTTATCCCTGCTCCCTTTCTTTGCCGGGATGGTCGTACGCTGTCGTTTTGCCGCTTCGGTGTCGGGGTTGGTGAACGGCATGGTTCGACATTTACAGAACTTTTTTTTTCTTCTTCTTCTACAGATTTTTGCGAAATTGTATTATGGTTCGTTCCTTGTTCCTCAACCGGTGTTCTAGTCTCATGTATTATTGTGTGCTGGTGACTACTGCTCACTTTTGCTTGGTCTTGCCGCCTCTTCAGTTTTAGCAAGTTCTCTTGATACCTTTTTTTGATTTTCTCGAATGTTTTAATACCATTTTGCATTGTTGATGGGATATCAAATTATTAATTATATTACTTTATATTTGAGGTATACATACTATTGTTTTCCATTATTTTGCCTCCAATTAGTTCATTTGTTATTTTTGGTCTCTTGCCAAATTGTTTCATACCGCTATTTCTTCAACCATTCTTCAGTTCTTCAACAAATACGTATTCCACTATTTTGTATCCCTTGTAATTTCGTTCACTATAATAAAAAGTATCTATACTCATTCTGAAAGACTCCAATATCTAGACGTTCAGTGGAACTGGTATAAAAGTACACTGATACTCCACTTTCTTTTGGTCTTTTCGTCTGTACAATATCTGTAACGCTGCATTCTCTAACATTCTGTCATCAGTATCCTCGCCTTCACTCGTCGCAAATATTGACAAAGTGCTTCAAAATTGTGACCAGTGCCACGACCGAATCTCAACATCGTCATCGCGTTCCACTGTCCGTCGTTGCCACTGCCACAATCGCCCGACCACTGCCCCCCCTCTAAGCCGCGCGCGGTCCATTCGCGTAGCGGCACCCGCGGGACAAGGCGGCCTGAGGGCGCGGTGGAGAATTTTTAATTTGGCTTTCGTCTCCCGTTTTTTGTTCCCCGCTCCCCATTCCACCCTGCTTGAAGCACACACTGTGAATATGGTAGATCTCAAAGGGAAATGACTAAAATCTTAGCCTCAAAAAAATGTACCATTTCAGACAAAGCAATGTAATCGGTAATTACACAGATTATTGATTCTAAATACTTGAGGTTAGGGACCTAGGGTTGAGTTAAAAATCTAGGTATCGACAAAGAAACGATTCCATTTGTGTGTTTTATGGGTATGTAAAATGTTAGAATGGAAAAGGAATGCAGATACAAGATAGTTAAAACACTAAATTCAATTGAAATGTCATCAGCACTATTATCACCATTAATAGTGCGAGCTAGAAAAATTCAAGCTAGTTCAACAATTTTGTAACTGCCGCATTCAAGAATAGAACACAACCAAGAAACCAAGTCAAGTTTCCTTGTGAATATTATACCTTAGATGTACTTTAAAGAACTAATGCTGTGTCTCACGCATGTTTCGAACGAGACTTTTTCAAAATGTAACTCAAGTATTAGTAGTGTATAAAGCAATACATTCTACGAATTATTAGCTCTAATTTTTCGTAACTGTTAGAAATAACAGTTGAGATATCTGTTATCTAACGCTGCGAGTTTCTTCCCCTCCCCTCGCCTGGCTGTCGTCCCCGCCCGTGAGTCCCATCCTACAACAACCTTTCCCCGCCCACCTCCACCCTGTCCAGTCCCGCCCCTTGCCGCCCCCATTCGTAGCGTCCGATGCGTGTGCTCGCGCGCCCGGCGGCGTCGACGCCTCCCCGTCCCCGCTCACGGCCGCTCGCCTCTTTTCTTCGCTTCGGCGCCCGCCGCGTGCGCGCCCGCATCCGCGAATATAGAGATATATTATTTTACTTTATCTCCCGAAGGTGCAGATGGATTCTTTCCTGCTGCGCGCGCCGCAACCGTCGCCATCTGTCGTAGGCGCGGGAGGAAGCCGGATATCGACGGCGAAGCGCGGGCAAATGGATTCAATGCATCACGTGAGCTGCCGTCATCGGGCATTACGGTGCCAGCGACGGAGCCCGCGTATCGGAAAGTATTACGCGGCCGAGTTATTGTGATTTCCCGCGGACGAATGTCGGATGTCGTCTTTTTGTAACGGAATCCTGCCGTGAACGAAGGCCTGCTCTATTGGCAATACTATCGTAGTGAAGCAATGTTGGCACAAACGATTTTTCACTGTCGTTCGAAGTTGGGAATGTTTCGTTGTTGATGATTCGCTTTAAAAACAAATATCCACATAATGTTTGCTAGAATATTTACATAAACAAAACTGAGTTATTTCACAAAATGATGTCGAAAACTACTGGTCATTCGATGTTAGGGAGCTATAATATTTTAGTGTAGTACGTTAAGAAAACGCATTTTTACGGCCAAAAATAGTAATGCAGATACCCTTCCCCCGACTGCCAGTACAAGTGAATTAATGAGCACACTTTGGATCTCAGTATCAATAAAAATTGCGTGTCCAAACGCCTATGCTCCGTTCGCCTATCTGTTAAATCTTCCATAAACGCGCCACGTACCCTCAGATCAATAGCGCCCCCAAAGGTACCTAGAGCTTGGTCAAGCAGTAGCTAGAAGCGTTTTTCTACATCGACAGTCGAGGGCGACCCCAGGGTGGGTATTGGCGGCGCCGCAGGGGCGTAGCGCTGGTCATAGGAGCGCCATGGTTGGAGGGGGCGGCGGGGCCGGAAGCTAGAGCATAGCCCCGTCCCTCCGCCTCACCTCCCAGCCACCCTCCCCATCACGGTCCCGGTCGCCGCCTCGCATTAGCTCGCTTCGGCAACCGACCACGCGCGGCACCAGCCCCGGCTCCGCCCCCGCCCCGCCCCCACCCCGCCTCGTCGGCCCGCCTTAACTCGATTTGAAGCCGGCGGACGGCGACCAAAGACGACGGAGCATCGGCCGCGGCACCGCCCGCTAGACGCTGACGGCCGACGAGACGGACCGGACAGAAGGAGCGAGGCAGTGGCTCTCTGGAGCGGATTCGACAGGGACGGGAAGGGTCTGCGAAGCACACAAGTGCTGCTGAATGCGGGATACGACGCGATTGATTGACGGAAGGAATATCAATTACCTACCCTATGAACTCTTTGATTTAACTGACACCATTCGCGAAGGACCCGATTCGTTTGATTATTGACTTCGTTACTGACACTACATAAAAGTTTATAATTTCTCAAACATCTTTACGAACATTTCTCTTTGAACTTCGCATGTAAACCGACATGAAATAACTGATTCATATTAATACAGGTAACATACTAGATAAGTAAAGTAATCAGTTCATAAAGGGCATACTTTTTCTCGAGGCGACCAAATGAGTTGAACATTCATCCGCACAATCCAAAAATATATTTCGTATTCAGTATACATTGAAACTGGTTCTTACTTTCACTGTTTATTGATAAGAAAGCTTTACTTTGCGGTTCGCGTAGGCAAAACAAATGTTACCCTATGTATAGTGCAAAGAACCATGGACATTTAAAGGAACTGGGTGCTGCAAAATAAACAAAAACCTTTTAACGACGTGAATCAAGGTGGCTGCCGTCTCGTACAAAAGTGTTTTTGACGTACTTCTTTCCAATTTCAAGGTTTCCTGCTTACTCCAAAGACTCACTAGTGACGTAAAAGCCTGTTCTTGCCCGAAGAATGCCCCCGCAGTGTGAAAACTGCGTGCAACGGCCGCTCCCCACCGGCCTCTTGGAGAGGCTGGCTCCTCCGCCTGTCGGCAGCAATCGATTCTCCATCGGCCGATCCTTCCCCGCGCCCTGCGCCCGCCGCCGAGCGCGGGAGGAGCCCCCGGACAGGAGGAACTTGCATCTGAAAGGGGTCGCGCGCGCGGGAAAAAGGCGACGAGACCGCGCCGCGGAGCGAGTCTCCTCGGCCTCCTCGCCGCCTCCTTCGCCGCCGCCCCCACTGACTCGGCCGGCGCTCACCGCTTTCCTTCAGTCCCTCGCGCCTTTTGGTTTCCTGGCTTTGGGGATCTTTTTTTTCTTCTTCTTGTTGAATTCCTTTGTTGTTTGACTAGGGCACTCTTTTTAATCTTCTTATTTCGACTCCGACACCTTTTATTCATTTCTTCCAATCTACAGCTTCTATTTTTTATTCATACACATTTATTTGTATTAATATAACTAACTTTCCATTTCTTTTTTCTTTTACGCTCATTGTTGCTTTCCTATAATATAAACGACTTAAATGAATTTTCTTCAGCATTAATTCCATAGGATATTCCTTTTTTACTTTGTAAGTCACTTGTCTCAATCAGAACAAATACCAGTTCACCTCACTTTCAGTCTAAAATAATTTTTCTCAGCTATTCTTCTGGTTGGAGCAGTGAGTTTATACGGCACACTCACCTGTCATTTCTATTCAATAGTCTGCTCGTCTGCCTTCTCGTTCCTTTCCGTGTCTTCCCCACGTAGGCTGCTTCCTCCAACGACGCCTCGCCTCCGCGTCCCTGCGCAGGGCACGCCTTGCCCATCAATGCCGCCTCCGCCTCCATCGGCGAACCACCCTCAACGCCTCCTCCGCCTTTCGCCTTCGCTCCCTCCTCCCGCCGCCCCGCCGCCTCCGCCATCTCCGCTGTCTCCACCGTCTTCACCTTCCATGCGATCCTGCCGCTTCCGCCGCCGCCATGGCCATCGCCAACGCCACCACCCCTACCACCAACACCACCATCCCACTGCCACCTCCTCGGCGTTGTAGGTTTCGTCGGCCTACACCGCCTTTACTACGGCGCCCGCCGCGCCGCCGCGTAACGGTGTGGCTTTGGGCCGTCATTCCCAAACATTATTTCGACCTCGCCCCCCGCCCCCGCTCCAGCCATTCGCGCCAAATCCGATTCACCTCTCGCGGCGCGTCATCACCAGCGGGCGGGTGGCGCGGGGCGAGGGACGCGGGGACGAGGCGCGTATTCATGAGCAGCGGAACCCGGGCTCAGCGCGCGCCGCAAAGTGATAAATAAATGTGCTGTTCGTCGGGCGAGGATTCGAAGACGGCGTGAAGACGCTCGCGGGCGGTGGGCGGGAGGTGGGGGACCCCAGTGCGGTCCAGATGAGGCGCGAGAACGACAGAGAACGCTACGGTGGTAATAAGGCAAGTGAAGGAAGAAGGGAATGGTAATGGGGGGAAGGTACTCGATCCGTCTGCTCTGGGGCGCGGGAATGGAATACGGGAGTAAAAGGTCGTTGGGAGGTGTAAAGTGAACCGAGTGAGCATTATCGGACTTGTCGGCAAGAAATTGCAGTGGGGCTGGTATGACGTAGCGGTGGTCGTTGGAAATGGCCGAATTCGTTTTCCCACCTGTAGTATCCATGAATGTTTGTATTTTGGAAGGAGGGAAGAATGGAGTGAAGGAGCTGAAGGTGTGTTGTCTTCTACAGAGAAGGCATTTGTGTCTCTAGGTGCGACGCGGACCGATGAGGTAGGTGATGCAGAAAAGTTGCGTCTGTTTGGAATTTCATGTGTAGCGGAAGCGCCGCTGTTGACAAGGAAGACGCGTGTTGGCGAAGCGCAAACCAATGGTGACAAAACTGAGTGCCGAAGGCAGAGATCGAATTCACAATTTTCTTAAATACCATTATTTCTATAATTGACTACATGTGCATAACAAAAAAATTGTCATCAACTTTTATTTCGTGTTTTATATTAAATCAAAGAAACTTCTAAAATCTCATTTGGTGCTTTCTTTAATAATTTTTCACTGAACTGCAAAATGCATTCTATTGATAAGTTTAGAGTCTTCGGTGTCACATTCACCAGTAATTTACTTTCAAATCTCAAAACTAAAGATGTTTCTTTCAACTACTTCCATTAACACTCTGTGGTGCTTTGTCAAAATAAAATTCTTTTGTGGACTTCTTGAATATTTCATTCAATTTATACTGCACATCAGTAACAGAATTTTTAAATATTGCAATGTACAGAAGTAAAAAAAAAAAACGACTCCGCACGTGGGGAAAGTTGATCGGTGAATTTTTTTTTATTTATGCGGGGAGAGGTGTTGTCGACAGCTTCCCTCACCTGCTCGTATGTTTCAGTGCTAGGAAATTTTCTCGGTTTGATTTCGCGTCTGACTCCCAAGCAATATGATGTCTCGTCTTACTGTCAATACTTTTTCGTCTTCCGAACTCAATTTTCTTCACGTTGCCTCTCGAAAAGCGTCTTAGCAGTCGAGTGTTGTAAAGATGCAATTTAAAGAATTTTAGGAAATTGGTTGAAAGATAAATGAGATTCAAGGACACTGATAAGTTCTTCAGAAACTTGAAAATATGTTTCTGTTTATGTGTGAGCAAAATCACCTATAGTGTTAATCATCTAGTCTCCTTGCTGTAGTAATTTTGATGTGAACATTGTGTCGTAATAATTGCGAATTATTTATATTTTTACAAATCGAGATATTGACATTCACATATCAACTTCTTCTCCAGGAGCCAATCATTATTCAATACTGTTTGGTAAGTACCACTCTCGTATGAGCGTCTTCTGTGGTTCCAAACCACTGGCTCCGCCCTCGCGCCGAGCGATCCCGCGCAGCACTCGCGGATAGCTCCATCGCTCCCGCAGTCGCCGCAGGGGCGTGGCTCACGAGTAGAAAAGCAACATTTTAAACATGTTTAGTGTCCTCGTCTTCGCACCACCCCTCTCCCGCCAGCTCTTTTTCTCTGGTGCCGCGTTGTTTTCTTTTGGTCGCGCGCGCGGGGCGAGTGGGAGATTTTACGCCGGCGCTGAAATATTGATTGGCGCGGTGCCGGCCGCGCGCGGGTGTGTCCGATGCGGTCCGCGTCCACGCCCCGCCCGCCCACCGCCCACCGGCCCACTGCCCGCCCCGCCGCCGCCGCCGCCCGTCGGCCGCGCCCACCTCTGTCGGCCGCCGGGGGCGGAAGGGAGGACAAGCTCTCTCCTTTGTTGCCCCAGATCGACTCTGCCCTCTCGAGGTCTTGCTTTCGGCGGTGAAAAGCGGGGGAGACTGCAGGAGATTGTAAGGTGCGTGCGCGTGAATTAAGACTAGAAATGAGCTCGCGTTTGGTTGGTGACAGTGTTATTCTTTATATTTTCATTGCAATACAACTCTGCTTCTATCAATATTTATTTTGCGACGTTTTTTATTGAGTAATAATTATAAACAAAGAGCATTATCTATAAATAATAATTTCTCAATTGCAGGCGTATACTCCTATTAAATAATCACTTCGGTTGCAAACTACTTCCTCATTCACACACGCATGTATGAAGCCAAATACTCAAAGAGTAAAAGGAAAACCATAAATATTTTACTAAATCTTGATTTAATTGCAAACGCTTAGAAATGAAGGATGAAAAAAATTGGCACATGTTAATTTGCCAGAATAATATCAAACTTAAATATAGAATTAACGACAATAATGAAGACAGTAAACTTATATCTTGGTGTGCAAAATAATGGAAAGAGGTAAGTAGGTACGCAGGTCTATTTTTAATCCCTAATAATATGGTAAATGTTAAAAAAAGCGAACATGTGAAAACTGCCTCAAAAATCTAACATACTAAGGACTGGTTTGCCAGCGTGAAAATAACCACAAGATTTTATCGCCATGAAATATTGATCTTGCGGTGTTCTGTTCTGGCATTTCCCGGCGCTACAGCCGTCACCTGTTACAGCGCCTGGTCTCTGTCCCTTGTCACGTTTCCTAGATCACATAACAAGCTCCACCGGTTCTTTCTGCCTCCATTTTCTTTAGATCCATATCAAATGTATTCCCTTTTCTCTCAGTCCTGTGTTTTTCCATCGGTGTGAAAAGCGCACTATCTTCATTGCTTTCGTGGATGTTTCGGCTATTGGTGAAAACTTGACTTATCCTTATGTCTTCGCATGGGCAATGAGGGAAGGACAGTCTCGGTTTTGAAACGCGCATGCGTTTGAATCATAAAGTGATCATCAATTGTATGAGTACGTTTTTTTGTGCCATCATGATTATGAAATGAACTTTCTTTGGTGGTAAACACATTTTCTGATTTCTATTTTCTTCGCACTTCTCAACCATTCATTGAGAGATGTAAACCTTTTCGAATTGTTGAGATTTTTTAAACATTTTATTATGATAATCATCAGGGTAATATTTATCTGATGTTTTATTTTTACAAGAATTATGTAAACAAAGTTGCGTTGAATGGTATACTGACATTTCGCTCCTGTGTTCTGCTAACATTAGGAAAACGATACTGAAAATAATACTAACTGATATTAAAATAATTGAGGAAAACCAAAATTTGTTGTGGATACTAATTGGGAGATCTATTACTTTGGAAAGAAGCGACTTCAAGATTTACTTCCGGGTCTTTCCATTTTTCTTACACTCCGTTATTGTCGAAAGAAAGAAGCGCATGTTACTTATCAGGTCTTGGAAGAAAAATAACTGTTCTGGGAATGTTTGTCGATCCCCATCTCTACTTTTTTGTTCCATTGGGAAGATAAATGAGAAACGTGGAGTTGAGCGGATCCATCGACAACTTTCGTTTTCTGCGGGAACAGTTTGAGAAGTCGAGGACCAAAATTATATGTGAAATATGTTCCTTTAGAGTTGCGTGAGATAAGGTGCTCGTCCTATTTGGTAGAACAAAATTAAATGATTCGATAATGTTCCTCAATATTATTATTGTATTAAAAATAATATAATTATAGCAATAACCTGTGCATGACTTGAATGAATATTAGTAGTTGTTTTGTGCGTAGTACTCAATTTTCTTCGCAATATTGTTATGTTGAATTATAATAAAAATATAGAATTAATGTAATTGGTATGTTGTGAAACTGATAATTCATTAATATATTACTTTATTTTTCATCAACGCATTTTACATTTTTAAATGGTTCTCTAAATATTATGTCGTAAGTGAGTATGTGTCAGCAACAAACTTTTAATGTATTGGTTATAATGTTGTTATAAGTTTATAAAGTTATAAGGTTGTTCATTGAGGAATAGACTTGTTCACAGATGCTAATTATTAAGTATTACAAGTATTAACACGGGTGTGCACGTGATAGCTCCATACAACTGAAATTATTACCGGTGTTTCGGAGTTTAAACGGAAACTGTTGAGAATTGAAGGAGTCAGTAGAACAAGGGGCTATCCCACATTTTTTGGGACATTGAGTTATTAGCATTACACAAAACTTCAAACATTATTATTTTAGTGTAATAAATCATTTCAATACTTTCAATACAATGTGGGCTTATATGCAAGCATACTTTGTTTAAAAGTTAAAAAATATATTGAGTTATATGAGAGAAGTTCACGTAAAACTCTCGTTATCTCAGAACTATGTTAGTGTGGAATAGTTCTTTGTTCTACTGAGCCCTTCAATTGCAGAAGCCGAAGAAGGTTTCTGGCGTCAGACATCTGTGGTGCGTTTGTGTCGAGTTCGGCCACCCCTGTCGCTGCGTGAGGCGCCATGTTCGGCCCGGGATGAGCTCACGCCTGCGCAGACGGCAGGGATGGCGCACGGCTTAACGAGTGACGTCACGCTCGTTTTGTTGATTGTAATCCCCTCGTCATCTCTCCAATTTATCACATAAACGTTCCCTCAACGGGCGTTCTTCTGTTACGCAATTTCACTACGGAGTAGCTGCTCTCCGTCGATCCTTCTTTCTGTAAAGACCTTCTTGTGGTGAATCTAATGGTAATTATTTTTCAGAAAACTTAAGGCTTCTTGTTGTATTTAGGATGTTAGTAGGATGTGGCCATCTACAAAAATGTGATTCTGATATCACTACATTCTTTCTTGTACGGTTAACGGAAGACGTTTCTATTATCTGCTTAAACGTGTACGAAAACATGTACGGTTTGATCATCGTGCCAGCATGTAATGAACTTGAGAACATTTTTACCTCGATAAATGTGCTAGTATAATTTGGTATTTATTGGACAATATGCACGCAACCATCTTCGCGACAACGTTGGTATAAATTATATTATTGTTCTTATATATCCAACTTATTACAGTACCAATATACGTAAATATCAATAATTTTATATATAAGGTCGTGCTGAATGAGTTTTAATTCTTACGAAAAAGTTAGGTTAACATGAATGCTTTTGTAACTGTCTGACATTTCTACATAAAACCAATCGTTTTAACAAATTTTGTTTTTATTTTTGCAGGTTAGTTACATCATTGTTATCTTTTTGGTGGCGTGATTTCTTCATAACAAGTGGGTGAGTCCAAATATATAACAAATGTATTTATTGCATGTGTTGTTTTCAATATACAATTAACATATGTATTTATGCACATCTGAAGTCGAAGTTAGTTGCACAGACTGCTTTTAAAAAATTCGTCCTCAGCTATATATTTGGATTTAAAACAATACCTTCACTTACGTTACGTCTCTGATATACGAAAAACAATTTTAGGATATATTTCTTTGTGGCACAAGGTATTATCAAGTGGTTCATACAGGCGACAGCCAAAGCTGTTGAAGCTGTGATGATGTACAGGGAAAAGCCGGTCGCAGGAGTGGTGATGAAGAGGGTGGGTTATGTACTTTTGGACGGTAGTTAATGTGAACGACAAGGTGTATGAGTTCGGTTCTGCATGTGCCTGACAAAGACGACGCGAAGTGGGCCAGGACAGTTCAAGTTACGATAGAGCGGCTTGGTTAGAGGAATACTCGTACGATGATTGCAGAATAGAAAGGTGTTGCGGAGATGGGTGTTGCGATGCAAGATGTGACAGGAGTGGGTGACAGTTCCCCTAAAGTACAGAACGAAGATAGTGCGAGAGAACGAGCGGCATTAAACTTCATTGGGCGACTGTGGCAGCCGTGGCGGTGAGAATGGTTGCAGCAGTGGAGGCGGGGCCGTCGTTGCGAAGAGGTATAGAGGGCGGTGTGAAAGTGAACGACTTCTCTTCGAATGTTACTGGCTGGATGGACTGGTCGAATGGTCGAAGCGGTGCTCGGGGTTCGGGGAAGACAGGACCTGCCAGGACGGATGGAACCAGTCACGTTTAGAGGGCAGGTGCGAAAAGAGTTTGGAGAAATAGGAAGGGCGAGGAGAAAGAGGAGCGAGGGATGACTAACCGAAAGGTTCGCTATTTGACGATAAAGGCGAGATGTGAGGGGATGAATGACAAGGCGTGGGATATGTGGCGACGCTGCGGGAGGAACAGATTTGGCATGTGGGGGCTTTGGGCGGCAGTGGCTGCGCGGTGGAGGGGGAGAGCGGCGGCGGAGTGTCGTGGGCGGCGGTGGACGACCGGATGGCGTCGTGGCACTTGGGGCGTGCGGGCGCGCGGCCGCTTGCTGCCGCAGATGTCGCCAGAGGGCGCGGGTTCGCGACCGAGAAGGGCATCTCCCCTCCCCACTTCCCCCGGCCCGCCTTTCTTTCGTCCTCCCCCCTCCACCGTCGCTCCCATGGTCCCCGTTCAGCTTCCGGTGACAGCTGCGCGAGGAACACGCCCGGAGTAAGACGCAGCGCTAGTTGCAAAGCCGTAGCGCTGCGGCAAGTGCAGTGGCATGGCCACGAAATGGTTGTGAGAAAACCCGACATTTGTTTAAAATATACTCGCATCGGGGCATGTAGAGACAATGGTTATTATTGTTTTCTTGCTTTTTGGGCGTGACTTACAAATGCAAGAATAAAGAATGGTTTTCTCATCTATGATATGATGTCAGAAATATCACTTATATATTTCTTTGTTTTGGAAACGCACTTTCCAAATGCAAATTTTATTTAGTTATAAAACAGCATATTTATGTAACTTTTCCAGAATGTCATTTAAATATTGGAACGCAGTTGTTTCAATCACAGATGTGCAGACGTACACTGCGTGCAAATGTACACTGCACATCAGTTGCACATCAGCTACACTTTTAGAGACTGCACTAATTGAACACGCAGCCGCGTCCCCCAAAGACAGAGCAGGCGTTGCCATGTCCCGTCCCTTTAAAGAGATGCGAGGGGGAGACCAAAAAAAAACACGTATATATATATATATATATATATATATATATATAATAAAAGTGCAGGAGCAGAAGCCTGTAAACGGAGGAGGTGGCTCCGCCCCTGCGGCGTAGGCCGCCCGCGGTACATCTACATCTTTACGAGCGCGGCAGTAAAGCGGTCGGTCTCTTTGCGCAAATAACGGCCGCGTATTGGGCGAGATAAGGTGGGCGCGCTTGCTTCCGCGGGGGACGAAGACCTTCCTCCTTCCCCTCCTCTACCACTCCTCTGGCTGAGTTGGCTCAGAGGCAGCTTTGCTGCTGTCCGTGCAGCGACTCACAGGGAGGTCCTAGCGTTCGATGCTAGCTAAATAGCGAGATCGAAGTCGGCCGGTGTCTGGTAGAAAATTCTTCCGGCTGGCCGCTCTGATCGGTACGTAGTTTTTCGTTGTTTTTCCGATCTATTTCTGGCGAAGGCCGGAGCAGTACCCTAATAAATAGACCAACGATATCGCGTGATCTTTCCTTTCTCATCCTCATCCTCGTCCTCTCCTCCCTCCTTACTTACACAAACTTACACTCACATTCGCTACACTACCACACTCGGGTAGAGATTAGACGTATTCCGGCAGGGTCAGTGCCTCGGCCGAGGGTGGGAGATGACTGGAGGGGGCACAACCCACCATGTCGTCGTGTAGGTCGGCGCCGGATCTCGCCATGCAGTGGAGGTGTAACACCACTTCCGATAAAACATTCACTGCACTTCTTGGTCTAATGTTAATAACAGTTAACGTACCTGGAACCATTAAGTAATCAATCAATCCAGCTATATCTGCACCCCAACCCGTGCACGATGTACTAATAGAACGACGCACAGTTTCAGAATAATTCTGATTATAATTATAATTATAATTACAATTATAATTATAGCTCACAAGAGGCTTCATTCAGGCGGTAGATTTTAGGTTGTTTTACATGCACATGGTGTGTACCAGTGTTTAGGGACAACAGGCTTTAAATTACGTAAGTTTCTGATTTCTTTGTTTATTTACTCTACGTGAAGTACTGGTACAATGTATGTGATGCTTCAGAGAAGAATTATTTTCTTCCTCGGTTGCTATTTCTTGTGTAAATGCCGTAGACTTGGAATGTAATTATATATAAAATGTACTTTTTGTCTCCGCATTCACAATTTAGTCATTCTACTACGTATTCTGATCTCAAAGTTCTTTTCAAAATTATTGTGTGAGGAATGATTTTCGGAGTGTGGTCGGTTAATTCAGCACTTTTATCAGGTTTCTCAGTCAGGTCAATCGGTCGGCATTTAGTCTTGAAATTTCTTTCCACTCCTTTACGCAGAACCGCTGAGTAACACAAGGCAACATGCATTTTCCTCGTGTAGCCTTTACGGAAGAGTCAGACCAGCATTCCTCATTCTCGAGCGGAGCATCGGTATTTCGCTGGAGGAATACTACATTTCTCCCTTGCAAAGCCTCTCCCCTCCTAATTTCTGTTGGTATGCTCCAGCTTATGCCTCCGGCGCGGGGGTGGAAAACGCCACGCAAGCGCCACTCGCGGTCTTAAAAAGGTACTTAGAGCTTCTTAATGTGTTTTACAGTTTTCATTAAAATTTATTATGCTCTCGCGATGGAAGGAAAAGGCAATTTCTATAAGGGATGGAAGTGGCTGCTGTCAAAAGTGCGTATTTAGTGAGGAGTAATGAAACGCGTGTTGCCTTTGGAGAGGGAGAAAACGGGCGTCGTGACTCGATTTGGCAACGTGGGAGGAGACGTCGCGAAGGTGCGTGAATTTAAGAGAAATTGATTTTATCTCATTTAGTTCTCTACTTTGTTATTCATTTTTTATGTATTCTTTCTCGACCTTTTGATTCTTTTTCCACAAATTTATAAATTATCCTTTTTTATTATTTTTTCTTTGAGGGTCTTATTTTCATTTACTTTTGACGTTTATATTGTTCTTTCTTATTTTTACTTAGAATAACATACTAGACATTGAACATTCCGTTCTGTTTCGTGTGTCGTTCAGTTCTCACATTACTCACTCATGTTGTATGGTATGTTCTGTTTCTATTGTCGTTATCTTTTTTTAGTCAAATAATATTTTTCTCCAAAAATGTTCTACATCTTTTTGTTCCCTGGAATTTTGTAAGTGATAAATTATTATCACAAGAGTTGACGATTCTTTCAAGACAGTTAACTTTTATGGTGCAAATTCATGCTGAATACTGCGTCGGTACAAGTATCACGTTAGAAATCTCAGCAAGTTATTTTGTAACTCATGATCACTCTCGGGTATCGGTATAGTGTGCTGTCAAAAATATCCAGTGCTAATGTAATTTTGTAATAAAACTATCTGTTTTCCAGAATAAAAATATATTTATCTGAACACTAAATGTTGGACATTATCAATTTTCTTTCCGGTAGACAACACGAAATTATCTGCTGATCACTGTCAAATAATAAAAAAATCTATTATATTACTTTACGCGTAACTAAAATGAAATAATTAGTAACACTGAAAATACCGAATGCACGGGCAGCAACGCGGGAGAATAAACTATGAAGAACAAACCACGCCATTAATATGGAAGCGGACGATCGAGACTTCAGCGGAATGCAACAATTTTCAGACGGCTTCTTGCTGGGGCAACTCCGTCCAATGCATCTTCCGGGCGATACGCGATAGTCGCGGAGGGCGTCATGGGGAGGCTCCGAGGGCGCGGGGACGGCCGCAGCGGGAGGTTGTTACTCTGGCGCGCGGGCGCAGGAAGAGAGGAAAATTCTTGGAAAACTTCCCGGCGACCCAGATTCCCTTCCAATGTGGGACGTCCGCGCTCACTTCCCGTTTCCCCGTTAAGATCTGATTTCTTTTTTTTTGTTTCGATATCTTTTATTTATTTTTTTCCCCTTCTCGCCGCCACTGTCCGAATGCGCGCGCCGCGCCCGACCTCCCGCTGCGCGCCGTCTGACGTCACTAGATAATGCCGGCGGTGACGTCGCAGCCTCCCCTTCTCCGCGCCCTCCGTTCTGCTTCGGCTGGCGTTTCGCGTCGTCTCGGTGTCAGTAGTGCCGCGGCCCACGCTCAGTCTCCGCGCGGCGCGAGTGGTTGAGCAAGCTGTGACGTCATGGCGCGCGCTATTACTCGGGGCTCGTTTCCTCCTTTTTTTATTTTTATTTCGCTGTGTTTTTTTTCTTGTACGTGTTAGCGGAGGCCGTGGATGTAAGGAAGTCGCGAACGTTGAAGGATGCAGTT